ACTCAGACCAGCCCTTCTGGCACCAACAATCATGCCACGTTCTCATCCTCCTCTCTGCCACAGTGGTCAGGGTGTCCAGCTGCTCCCCCACAACATCACCGGCCCTCTTGATCAGTTTGTTCAGTCTGTTGTTTTCAGCAACCCTCAGCCCACTGCCCCAGCATGTGACAGAAAAAGAGCGTGCTAGCAACAACAGACTCATAGAACATCCTCAGCATCGTCCCACAGATGTTAAAGGACTTCAGCCTCCTCAGGAAGAGTAGTCGGCTTTGGCCCTTTTTGTAGCCCTCCTCGGTGTTTCTAGTCCTGTCCAACTTATTGTTAAAGTGAACTCCCAGGTACTTATACTCCTCCACAGTGTCAACAGGAACCCCCCTGGATGGAAACAGGGGTCACAGGTGCTTTTGTCCGCCTCAGATCCACTATTAGCTCCTTAGTCTTTGTCAGTTTGAGCTCCAGGTGGTTCAACTCACTCCAAGTGACAAAGTTGCCCACCACAGTCCTGTATTCACTCTCCTCACCCTTTTCAATGGAGCCAACAATTGCTGAGTCATCAGAAAACTCCTGAAGGTGGCAGAACTCACAGCAATAGCTGAAGTCCGAGGTGAAAAGGGTGAAGAGGAAAGCGGAGAGGACAGTCCCCTGGGGGGCTCCAGTGTTACTGACCACCCTGTCAGACACACAGTTCTGTAGGCGTACATACTGTGGTCTGCCCGTCAGGTAATCAACAATCCAGGACACGATCAAAGGTCTTCATGATATATACTGACTTCCTCTATGCTTCTTGTATCAGGTATATATACTGTTTTCATCCAAATGGATAAACTCTTCTGTCTTTCCTATTGTTTACTATGTTGATGAAGGTTTTATCTCTAAACGTTAGTGATGGGTTAATGAGGCATCTTGAAGCGTTGGACACACTGCTAATCTATTGATGATGCGTTGATACTGTCTTGCAGAGTACTGACACCTGCTGGACCTTTAAAGACACTACAGGCTGCTTATTTTACAGACTTAATTGATTTGATGACCTAGTACAATGATATAATTTAAGTTATTGCAAGTTATATTTTATTACTTCATATCTATGTTTTAATTGAAAACATCTTTGATGTTTTTAGATGCAGCCAATAAATAATGTAAACATATAACGTGAAAATTTAGGGGAAAATGTGAATGAGGACTAGGTTTTTAAATCAATTTTAAAACAATAAATACAGTAAAAACAGTAAATAAACTAAGTCAATTTGAAATCAACTTTAATTCAGATAAGTTGAGTGACAACTGAGAGGAAAAGGATGACACAATGAGGAAATTAAAATAAAAACGCAACGGCTTTTCCAATATTCTTGATAATTTAATAGTAAGATGAGAATTTTTTTTCAGCAGAATCATCTTAACAGATGCGTTTTTAAAGACAGTTTAGTGAGTTAGTCAGTTAGAAACAACTCCTGTATCGATCACACAAGTTTCTTAAAGTGTTTTGCTCTTTGTTCTTGGCGCATGCACCAACGCATCGGTGTTGCTGAACCCATCACTATTAAACATATAACCTATATCTCTTTTCAGGAGCTGGTCTGAAGGTAAAAGAAGAATGTAGACGGTCTGCAGACACAGTCTGTGAACCAATGGAGGGATTCTTCTGTACTGACCTTAAACCAGGAGGCTGTGGTTCAGCACAGAGACACAGGAGCTGTAAACCAGGACAGTTCATCAGGAGGATAGGTTGGACATCCTCTGCTTTTAACATGACTGCTGACTTTATATTTATAGTCAGACGATAAAGAAAGATAAACTGAGTTACATGTTTATTATAGCTGAACATCTGATCAGAGTTTTCTGACCAACTTCCTGCAAACTGGTTTGTGTTTGTTCAGGAACAGCCTCCACAGACACAGACTGCTCTGACTGCGTCGCTGGAACGTTTTCTGATGGATCAATGTCGTCCTGTCAGCCACACACACAGTAAGCTAGTCTTTTAGAAACACCTTAAACACAGCAGGACGTTCAGCAGAGTATTAACCTGGATGCATGTTTCTGTTACTGCAGATGTGAAAAACAAAACCTTCAGCTGATAAAAGCAGGAAATACTTCAACTGATGCTGAATGTGGAGAAAAGAAAAAAATCACAGGAATAGTGATCGGTGTGGTGATGGGTTTTTTACTTTTGGCAACGATTGTTGCTGTTGTTATTTTTCTCTGGAAATATCAAAGAAAGAGACTATTAGGTAAGATCGAAAATGATATAGAATATTCTTTGCAGATAATTAAAAGTTAATGTTTGTTTAATATCTGTAACATTTGACTTTTGACAGATTTTTGTACAAAAAAACAAAAAACCCCAACGGTATGTAGGTTTATTAACTGAACAGATGTTGATAGAAATATTCAGTTTATTGAAGAAATCACTGACTTTTCTTCTACACAATAGGATCGAACACAAGAAGCAGAACAACATGCCCTGAATCTCCCAACGAGGTAAGATAGAACGCTGTTCTTTACTTGATTATTATGGGATAGATTGTTTTTCCTGTCAGTGATCTGGAAGGCTGACATTTTCTCTGAGGAATAAAATAAACTGATGTAATAATTAAAGGACTGTGAGCTGCTGGGTGTCTCCATCCATCTCTAATTGATTTATTAATTTCTCTCATTTTCTCTTCAGTGAACTGAAGACTAGGACCAAACCATTGACTAAATATCTGGTTACTGTAGATTAAACGAGTTTCAGTTTCTGGATCAAACCAAGCTGGATTCTGAGACGTTTGATTCTACAGTGATCAGAAAGAACGACTGAAACTTTCTGCTTCTCCAGAGTTACTGATCCTCTACACACAACTTAACCTTGTTAGAAATGTGTTTACACATATTTAATATTTATTAATTGTTTAATTTCAGAGGGCAGATATTTTTATAATCAGTATTTTGTTTAATAAGAGCAATAAATACAAACTGGTAAATTCATCAGCTCTGTGACTGGAAACCAGAATGATTACTGGAGGAAACCTTCAGTAAATCAATAACTTCATATGTAATGAAACTGTCTTTTTGTTTAGTTTTCAGACTAACCAGAATCTCATCAGTAATTTTAATAATCAGCTCTAAAATCAGGATCTGAAGCCTCGCTGCTTTCATCATGTCTACATGTTCTGATTCAGTAGAAGCAGTTGAAATAGAATCCTAATGTTTTTGAGGTTATCTGGAGTTTTTAAGATATTGACTGCCTTTGTACAGATTTCTATAAATGCACCTGGATAGTTTTAGAGGTTTTTCTCTAGTTGTTTTTATAAAAAGAAAACAAACAAACACTGTGTTAGGTTGGACCAAATTTGCACAGAACAAATGTAATTTTCTATATCTTTATGATTTTGTATATAATGCGTCACAAAGACTTTAAATAGAATAGGAAAGCAAAACAAAAAAAGGAGAAAAGATGAAAGAAAGGGAAGATAAAAGGGAAATAACGATTAAAAAACAAAAATAAATTCAGTCTGCTTCATCACCTGCAAAGAGATGTAAAAAGAACAGCACAACAACGAACATAGCACAAATTATACAATAAAGTAACACCTTGATACTATCGCTGAAGTATAAGTAGTATTATTTAATCTGACATGTATTCTGTGTTACCTGAAGATATGAATGTGGGCTTTCTGTATTGAAGTGAATCTCTAAGTACCTGGAACCAAGCACCAGTAGTAGTTTGTGAGAGTGCACTTGTGAATGTAAATTGTATCCATGTCA